GTACCCATTCTCCTTAAAGTTTTCCAAAAAGTAGAAGAAGAGGGAATACTCCCAAACCCATTCTTGAAGCCTGCGTCACCCTAATACCAAAACCAGGTGAAGACCTCACCAAAAAAGAAAATTACAGACCAATATCCTTGATGAACATAGATGCAAAAACACTCAACAAAATATTAGCAAACTGAATTCAAAAATACATCAAGAGGATCATACACCATGACCAAGTGGGATTCATCCCAGGGATGCAAGGATGGTAAAACATTCGAAAATCCATCAACATCATCCACCACATCAACAAAAAGAAAGACAAAAATCACATGATCATCTCCATAGATGCTGGAAAAGCATTTGATAAAATTCAACATCCATTCATGATAAAAACTCTCAATAAAATGGGTATAGAGGGTATAAAATGAGGTATACCTCAACATAATAAAATGAGGTATACCTCAACATAATAAAAGCCATATATAATAAACCCACAGTCAACATCATACTGAACAGCAAGAAGCTGAAAGCTTTTCCTCTAAGATCGAGAACAAGACAGGGATGCCCACTCTCCCCACTGTAATTCAACGTAGTAATGGAGGTCCTAGCAATGGCAATTAGACAAAACAGAGAAATACAAGGAATCCAGATTGGTAAAGAAGAAGTCAAACTGTCACTATTTGCAGATGACATGATACTGTACATAAAAAACCCTAAAGACTCCACTCCAAAACTACTAGAACTAATATCTGCATTCAGCAAAGTTACAGGATACAAAATTAATACACAGAAATCTGTGGCTTTCCTATACACTAACAATGAACTAACAGAAAGAGAAATCAGGAAAACAATTCCACTCACAACTGCATCAAAAAGAATAAAATACCTAGGAATAAAACTAGGAAGTGAAAGACCTATACCCTGAGAACTACAAGACACTTTTAAGAGAAATTAAAGAGTACACTAATAAATGGAAACTCATCCCATGCTCTTGGCTAGGAAGAATTAATATCATCAAAATGGCCATCCTGCCCAAAGCAATCTACAGATTCAGTGCAATCCCTATCAAATTACCAACAGCATTCTTCAACGAACTGGAACAAAGAGTTTTAAAATTCATATGGAACCACAAAAGATCCCAAATAGCCAAAGCAATCCTGAGAAGGAAGAATAAAGTGGGGGTGATCTCACTCCCCAACTTCAAGCTCTACTACAAAGCCACAGTAATCAAGACAATTTGGTACTGGCACAAGGACAGATGCACAGACCAGTGGAACTGAATAGAAACTCTAGACTTAACCCAAACATATATGGTCAATTAATATACGATAAAGGAGCCATGGACATACAATGGGGAAATGACAGTCTCTTCAACAGTTGGTGTTGGCAAAACTGGACAGATACATGTAGGAGAATGAAACTAGACCATTGTCGAACCCCATACACAAAAGTAAATTCAAAATGGATCAAAGACCTGAATGTAAGTCATGAAACCATAAAATTCTTAGGAAAAAACATAGGCAAAAATCTCTTGGACATAAACATGAGTGACTTCTTCATGAACATATCTCCCTGGACAAGGGAAACAAAAGCAGAAATGAACAAGTGGGACTACAGCAAGTTGAAAAGCTTGTACAGCAAAGGACACCATCAATAGAACAAAAAGGTATCCTACAGTATGGGAGAATATATTCATAAATGACAGATCCGATAAACGGTTTACATACAAAATATATAAAGAGCTCACGCACCTCAACAAACAAAAAGCAAATAATCCAATTTAAAAATGGGCAGAGGAGCTGAGCAGACAGTTCTCCAAAGAAGAAATTCAGATGGCCGACAGATACATGAAAAGATGCTCCACATCACTTGACATCAGTGAAACGCAAATTAAAACCACAATGGGATATCACCTCTCACCAGTACAGATCGCCACCATCCAAAAGACACAACAACAAATGTTGGCAAGGTTGTGGAGAAAGGGGAACCGTCTTACACTGCTGGTGGGAATGTAAATTAGTTCAACCATTGTGGAAAGCAGTATGGAGGTTCCTCAAAAAGCTCAAAATAGAAATACCATCTGACCCGGGAATTCCACTTCTAGGAATTTACCCTAAGAATACAGCAGCCCAGTTTGAAAAAAACAGATGCACCCTGTGTTTATCGCAGCACTATTTACAATAGCTAAGAAATGGAAGCAACCTACGTGTCCATCACTAGATGAATGGATAAAGAAGATGTGGTACATATACACAATGCCATAAGAAGAAAACAAATTCTACCATTTTCAACAACATGGATGGAGCTTGAGGGTATTATGCTCAGTGAAATAAGCCAAGTACCAAATGATTTCACTCATATGTGGAGTATAAGAACAAAGAAAATACTGAAGGAGCAAAACAGCAGCAGAATCACAGAACCCAAGAAAGGACTAACAGTTACCAAAGGGAAAGGGACTGGGAAGGATGGGTGGGAAGGGAGGGATATGGGGGGTTGGGGGAAAGAAAGGGAGCATTACAATTAGCATGTACAATACGGGGGGGAGCACAGGGAGGGCTGTGCAACACAGAGAAGACAAGTAGTGATTCTACAGTATCTTACTATGCTGATGGACAGTGACTGTAATGGGGGCTGTGGGGGGGAGTTGGTGAAGGGGTTATCCTAGTAAACATAATGTTCCTCATGTAATTGTAGATTAATGATACCAAAATAAATAAATAAATAGGAATAAATAAATAAATAAATAAGACTGAGTGAGTGAGTGAGTAAGTAAGTAAGTAGGTAATTAAGTAAGTAAGTAAGTAAGTAAGTAAAGTAAGTAAGTAAGTATGTTAAGTAAGTAAGTAAGTAAGAATGGTTGGGAGGCTATGGTGAAGAGAACGTTCCAGGCATGTGGCATGTGCTTAAAGTTTTTGAAAGGTATGGAAGAATGCATACTAGAAATCATTTGTATTTTGACCTTAGGAGTTAATTACTATTCATTTGACTTGTTTAGTTAAACTCCTTCTTACTGCTTCTTGTACCAAAAAGCAAGGAAATTAAAAGCACACAGAAGTCAACTCAGAGGACCTAATGATGTTGACTGGTCACTTGGAGAACATGATGTTTCCCAGACTTTTTCACTGTTATTATTTTTCTCTTTGTAATTAGTAAGTATTTTTGTAGGGAGGTACTTTGAAACTGTATACTCCATTCCTCATAAAACTTTGAATATATTTATTAAAATGAACTCAGAATTTCCTATTCAGTGGCTTAAGATCTATTACTTTCATTTTGATGCTGACATTTTCCCAGGGTTGACCAGTGGGAGTCGCATCAAGCTGGCTTCTGTATACTTTTAATTTCCTTGTATTTTAGTACAATAAGCAGTCACTAGTTTAACTTAACCTACTAATAATTATTTTAGTGCTCTTGTCTTTTTGGATATTCTAGAGTGAGTGATTTGTTCTTGAATATTGGTTATCTGAGTAGAACATATTTCCATAGTTTTTTATTAAAATAAGTACTAAGTCATTTAACCTCAAGAGAGCACTTTTGAAAAACTGTAGTCTCCATATTTACGTCATCTGTTTTCTGTTGTACATCAACTCTAGGAACTAAAGTGAACGTAAAAGTAGCTTTTTTTTACATGGGTATCCCTTTCCATCTGTTAAACTAGTGGAACGTTAGAGCATTAAATTAATATATTCATCTTTTCATACCTTGTGTTTCAGTTGATTATTATGTTTTCATAAAAATACAATCTAATAATATAAAAGGAGAAAATTTTGATACTCTTACAAATAGGTTCAGATGGTATTGTATATAAAACCTTTTAATGCTGATACTTGAACAGTGTCGTAAATTTAAAGTACCTCTTTTTGTTAAGAAGAAATTGGCTGTTTTTCCTAAATATTTGGGAAAGTGTTTCTAGTCCTATCCATTCCATTAATTATTTGGTAATACTGAAATTTTTTAGTTTTAAAATACTAAAAACCTTAAGACTAGCATGTTATGCTAATTGATTCCACCTAGTATATGTTAGATAAGTAGATATTTTTATGTGTTCTTTTTGTCATTGCAATATTATTTATTATTTCAGTCAATGGACATTCACCAAGCATCAGTTATTATAATAATGACAACAGTAGTAGTAATAGCAATAATCCTTTACTTTTACTGAATATTCACTTTCACTGAATCTAATGCCATTAGTTATAAGACGCACAATTTTTTATGTAGTACTGAGAATGAGAAAATCTTGCCAATTAAACTATTACACACCATCCATTGTAAAATGTACCTTAAGTTCAAACATATCAAGTGAACAGCTACCATTTTTCAGACTTCTGGCACTTGACATGTCAATTCATTTAATTATACCAATCCCATGAGATGGGGTCATCATTACCCTCATTCTTACAGATAAGGAAGATCAGCCTCAGAGAGGTTAGGTAACTTTCTCAAGGTCACACAAATATCAGGTAGATTTGAGAGCAGAAATCCTAACTCCAGAGTCCCACCACCCTCAAGTACTACCCTATACCACATTCAGCCAAGGTAATTAAAATAGTTATTTCTTTTAGTAATTCATGGCAAAGGGAGGCGAGAGAGAGGAAGTAATTTATGCTATAATATGATAAATGCTATAGGAGAGAGGGGCATAAAATACTATGGGGCCACAGAGGAAAGATGGTTTATAACTGTTTTCTGAGGAGGTGTATATATACCAAGTTCTCTGTCTTTCCTGTGATAAGCAGATACGATAGCTTAAAAATCATGGTTAGGTTCTTCTAACCCTCCTGCGTTGCTGTGGCCATATTTCAATCTTTGATTCTTCCTGGTGGGCTAAAAAACATTTCAAAATACCACTACACTCTTTAAAACATTTGCACTGTAATGTCTACGTAGTATACAAACATCAAAATTCACTAGCTGTATCTTATTGAAATGAATTTCTGAAATGAATTTCTGCAAAAGTAAAATGTTCAAATTAGCTGAATACATGAAGTTTGAATTTAATGTTTTCACAGGTGCTGGTGAAAATTTGGAGAACACAATGGCAGCTTTTCAGCAGTAAGTATATAAAACTGTATTCTTTTCTTTTACAGTTTATCTCTGAAGTGATGATGATTCACAAAGTGAAGATAGTGTTACATGTAGCATCCAATTGTGATAGTTGTTTCTATTTTATTAAAATCCCTTTTTTTATTCAGTTAGTCTGAAGTGTTACAAAGAGTGTTTGGCTTCTGCATAACTAAAAAACTAGACCAGAGTTGTGGGTAATCAAAAGATACTATAGTTCCAAAGCTGAAAGAAGACATTTGTAACAAGGAACATACTATGTGTAATGCTAATTAGTTTTAGAGAGAAAGAGAAAAGGAGAAAATGAAACAAGTGTTACATTGGCCACTGCTTATGAATAGGACTGTGTTTACCCAGTAATTCTTCTACAGAAGCTGAACCTGTAATCTGGTCTTCCTTCTTTGAAGCCTTATATGAGTGTTGATCTTATTTTTGAATAAGGTAGATTAATTTTTTTTCCAATTTTTAAATCATTCATATTTCATTGAGATGTCAAGAGTACCTCACAGAGAAGCAGCAGGAGAGACAGGAATGAAAGCTGATTGATAACCTTGGTCCTTGCCTTAAAATAAATGATTATCATCAGACTGTGGTAATGGTGAGAACAGTTTCTTTTCCCTGAAAAATAAGACAGGGAATGTGAAAAATTAAACTCCATGAAAGATACTGCTTATCCATATTTAGTAAGAAAAATATTTTCTTATATAATTTTTGAGCCACTTATATATATATAATTAATTGGGGTTAAGAAATCAGGATAATTTGGCCTAAGTTTTTGTTCTGCTTCTTGTCATTCAAAGACACCTTAAAGAGATTATTTTACCAGGTCCCAAGGCACTGCTTCCGCATATTCTAGTTTCATCTAAACCCCATCCTCTTGTATTTGCCATTGCTTTAGAGTCTCTTAAAGCTCTAAAATGTAAATCTTTCCTCCTGTCACACTCTTTGAAACAATACTTTAATTTAAATTATCTTCTCTGTTGATACTATATAGCTAGCCAGCTAGCTATATATGTATGTATGTATCTATATATATAAAATTCTATGTGTACAATTTCCACTGAGACATGCATATGTGTACACCCCCCACCCTGCTATCACTTATCAAATATTTGTTGCTTGTTGCCTGGGATATAGTGATATATATAATACTTGGGGAAAAACTGCTCATAACTTTGAATGATTTTAGCATTTTTTGTGTTTAAGGCATATTATTTTGTAAGTTTTTCTCCATATTTTTGTTAGATTTTTACCAACTACCTTTGTTTTTGAAATTAAAACATAGGATTGTATAATAGACTTTCTAAGATGCTGCATTTATAAAGTTATTTCTAAGGATGGTACACAAATATTTTTATCTTTGAAGATTTTGACCCTCTGAAACTGTTAGTTATTCTTTGAGTATTGAATTTAGACAGTTTTTACTTGCTAGATACATTTCACATCTTCAGCAGCCTTTTTATTGTTTTGTTCAACCAGTAACTATTGATAAGTGGGACAGCTTTCTTTATCATGTGGTAAATTTCTGTACCAGGTTTTTGGAGATTTTTCTGGCACATTAGAAAAAGAAAGCAGCTCTTCACATGATAATGTGCTTCTTGAATGTATTTATTTGTAAAGCTGCTTGTTAATTGCCTTTGAAATTTATATAAAACTTAAATAGGCTTTGATTTTAACCTCTATTTAAAATTTGTTGTTCATGATGGTGGTTTTATTTTTTCTTATATCTTAAGCATCAGTGCTCTTGCTTTCAATAAGTAGTTTTTTTTCATTTACAAATATCCTACTATTCCTATAACTGATAGGACATTTAGGTGTTTTTTTTAAATCATACCTGCTTCATGAACAATAAGGAAACATTGTTTAAAACATCTATTTTCAAGGTACCATATATTAGACAGATAGGTAATAATACCTCAGTGGCAGAAGACAAACACTGTGCTTAATCATGGTATATCATTAATAGGCTAGGTAGTGGAGGGAAATAGAGTAAAAATATAACCAACAGCTAAAACTTAGATCTTATTTCTGTACACATTTATACATAAATGTTTTAATTGTATTTATTATTCACAAAGTGTATATATTATGATGGGGAAGTGAAGGTGAGAAGATATTAGAGAAATTGTAAATAGTTGTGTGGGAAGTCTGGTTAAGATCAACCAGAAAATTGAAATGCTACCAGGACTAGAAGAGCTATCATTTGGAGAGAAGGAAGGAAGGTATTTTTAAAATGTGAAATGTTTCAGATTAAGATATGATTGTATGTGAACAAGGTATGTCTAAGAAATGGAAAGAACCTTAAGAATGTATGGCAAATTCATTCATTGAATTATAGTGGGGCTAAAGAATTAGGACTGACAGAGAAATAATTGCATCTCACAATTTATGAAGAGTCCTGAAATGTGTTATAAAATGCTTTCATGATCACCTTAGGTTATGAATATAGTTCTTCTGTGGTTCCTTGGGAGCGAGAATCTTTCCTTATTGATCTCTCAATCCCTAACACTTAACTGCATTGCTAATAGGATCTCAACTAGTTGTTTACTAAATTACATATGGAATGGGGCACTCAAGAACAAAGCAGAATATTAGCAAAAGACAGGTGAAGGAGACAGAACTCCATCCATAATAAGCATAGAACCAGAAACCAAGGAATTGTAACACACACACATACACACACACACACACACACACACGGAGAGAGACACTAAGCCCTTGAGTATGTAAAATCTGATTCTTAAGAGCTAATAAAACTAGGATATTAAACCAGGCCGCCTTTGTAAATACCCATAGGACAATTTGATCCCTGTGGTATTAACATGAATGGTAAGAGAAAGAAACAAATTGTTTTAGCAGTAGCTGGAAGTGTAAGTTGGCAGACAGTCAAAGTAATTAATCAGTGGCCTGGTTCTCATGATAAATTTTTTAGAATATCTAATTAATACAATACTAATTATCTCATCTATGAATCGGGGATAATAATACAACCTCAGTGTTGTGAGGTGTGAGATTCAAATAAATTCCTTAACATAGGGTCTGTTGTAAATTATTATTCTATGGAGTTTCAAGTAACTTCACATCATCTTTTAGACCTAGCATTTTTATTTCTTTCTCTTTGGAAATGTTGAAGCCCTGGCTTCCCTAAGTTTTTCTGTGTTTGTCATCACCTTATTGGAATTCAGCTATAAATATCAGGTGCTTCAGTAAAGTAGATGCATAATGTTATTTATGGAAAATTTTGAAGGCTAAAGTGATAAAAATTTTTCTTTCTTGCTATGTTCTAGCTATTTGTATATCAAATTTGGGATAATTCTATTAGGATGATTTACAAATTGTCCTAGATGTACTTACTATTGCTCTAAATGTTTACTTTTTAGCTTGTTAATAAGAGATAAGTATAGAGTAAATAGATAATATTTTTCATCTAATTCCTAACTTTTCTAAAAATAGCCAACATTTCAGTTACAGGCAAACTTAATACTTAGAAAGATTTTTTAGGTAATATGTAATTTTTTTAATACAGGAAACTATGGATAATCCCTGCTCATATCCTCCCTTCACACACTCATACAAAACAATAACAAGAGAAAAGAAAAAGAAAGATATATGTGTGTCCAAAAATCAGTAGTATCAATATAAAGGATCTTTGAATTTTATTTCAAAAGTGAGTGCTGGCTACATATGTTGCTTACAGTTGCTATATTTTTTTAATAAAATTAAATACAGTATAACAACAATATTTAAGGAATATTAAAAATAACAAAAAAATAATTCTACCAACATAGAAACTATTTTTGTTTGCTTATTTCTTTTTGGATTTTATTTGTCACATTGTGGTTCTGCAAAACACACAGTTGGCAAACAGATAGTCTCTTGTAAAGGTGGATATCCTTTAGAAGAGAACACAAAGTTAACCACTTAATTATTTACATCTTAGTAAGAACTGCCTTAAGGAGCCAGGTTTGTTTTCCCCTAACAACAGTAGTAATCAGTACACTGAGGGAAGGGCTACTTAAAGAGAAGTCAGGGAGCAGTATGAGACTTTGGCACAAGGCAGCAAGTGACCATTGGGTGTTTTGGGATGGGATGCTGATGGAAGTGGATCACCTGAAGCAGGCAAAGTAAGAGACCCTGCGGACATGGCTGGCCCCAAGGGCTGCATCATTTTTGAACCATTAGATCTGGATGGCCAAGAATCATAAAAACTCATGTGAAATCTTAAGCACAAAGGAAAAGAAGACATGATGCATGCAAAGGAACAAATATAAAAATTATTACAGACTGTGTAAAAAAAAAAGCAAGCCAGAGGACAATACAATGGCACTTTTACTGTGCTAAAAGAAAAAAAAAGTCAACACAGAATTCAATGTCCAGCAAAAATATCCCTTAAAAATGAAGGGGAAATAGAGGCGGAGTCGATATGGCAGCATAAGTAGAGCAGTGGAAATCTCCTTCCAAAACCAAATATATCTATGAAAATATAACAAAGACAACTCTTCCTAGAATAGAGACCAGAGGACACAGGACAACATCCAGACCACATCCACACCTGCAAGAACCCAGCACCTCGTGAAGGGGGTAAGATACAAGCCCTGGCCGAGTGGGACCCGAGCGCCCCTTCCCCCAGCTCCCGGCGGGAGGAGAGGAGTCAGAGCGGGGAGAGAGAGGGAGCCCAGGACTGCTGAACATCCCAGCCATCCGGACCAGAATGCAGACACAGTGCATGCATGGGGTCCTGGATACTAGGGAAACAGGCCAGCAAGACCAGTGAGTGGGTACTGGAGGCCAGCGCCGGAGGACAAACAAAAGCGAGCAGCCATTTTTTTTTTTGGCAAGTGCATTTTGGAAGTCTTAAAGGGACAGGGACCCCAATACTAGGGAAACAGGGCAGCAAGACCGGTGAGCAGGTGTCTGAGGCCGGCGCCGGAGAACAAAGAAACACGAGAGGCAATTTTTTTTTTCTTTTTTTGGCGAGTGCTTTTTGGAAG